CAACTTACAATCCCACCGATATGGAATCAATAAAAGACATACAAAACACTTTCAAAACTGAACAATACTACAACTACTACTATTACTACAAATTCCACATTTTAAGTAACACAATTAAATGCACCTCCCTTCCAGTTTGGCAGTTCTGTAATTCTATGAAACAATGTAAAACAGTTAAGTACCACAAAAACAAATCATATACAAAATATAAAAACCTATTATGAACCACCAAAATGCAACTGAAAGCATCATAAAACTTTCATATATGTTACAAAAAGTACATAATACAATCACCCAAATCATTTATCTACATGTTCACACTACACAATATTAATTTCAACACACAATGCTCACATACATAATTACTCAATTCCCTTACACCCACCATAGTCTAGCGACTCAATTCTCGCTTCAGTAAAACACTCCAGTGTTGAACATACTATAATAATGTCTTCCAAAATAATCCTTCCATACTACCTTTCCTGTGGCACCCTTCTGATCATGAAACATGCCCAGAGGCTGTGGGTTGCACCAGCTAGTGAAACTCCACAGTTACCTTTTTTTCTTTAATTAGTTATCGATGCAGGGCTTGAATATTATTGGGATCAAAGCAGACAGGGAGGGAGGTTTCATTCTTTTCCTCCCTAGCCTTGTGTAGATGTCGGGTTTGCAGCCACCAGTGTGCTAGTTCTCCTGACGATGGTGGTTATTTATATATATAGCGGCAGATATGCATAATCAAAGAGCAGGAAACCTGGCAAAGATAAGGAACCAGTAATCCTCTTTTTTTTTCTCCTGGACTCCAGTTTTGATCAGCCACACAGCCAGCATAACAAATTGTTATTTGTTTAAGATCCATGACAGGCATGAGGCAGGAGTATTCTTTTAGAAATAAAAATGGTGTGAGGTACTTTTTCCTACAGAATGTGCCAAAGTGCATTATAAGAAGTTGGATCCAACCCATCGTATAAGGGTATGTGTACAGTCTAAAGACATCTGACAGCTAATTATATGACAGAGTATTGAAGGAAGGCTTGGAGAGGTCACATAATCCTATTTTGCTTTGGTCTTTCACCCCTCCCCTTGAATGGTAGAGGAAACCTCTAACTGATTGTTTCATTTTGTCAAACCACTTTTCATAATATTCCATAAGCAGAATAGAGATGGTGTTGTGCTATTGAGGCAAAAAGGGGAAAGAAAGAGAGAAACTAAGACAAAGGAGGGGAAAAGACAGATGGGATGGTGTAGGCTGCAATGAACAACAACAAACGCATCCAAAGTAACAATTACATATACTGATGAGGCGGATCTTCTGTCTCTTCAACCTGGCAAGTCAATGAAGGGAAAACATCTTCCTCCCTGGAGATGAGGAGTTGCTCGCCTTCTCCTTCTCATCAGGGACCACAAAAGCTATTACCATCTTTCTGGTGTCATTGTAATCATGCCCAGTGATATCATTATTCTGACTGCAAATGCTGTGACAGCATCTATAAATATGAAGTGACAGCCCCGTCCTTCTTCCTTTTTTCATTCATTTGGTTCCCACAACACTTTACAATACAGTGAACCCACTCTCATTTGTGAAATTCTGCAGGGTTGTTTCTTTTCCATTTAATTTTTAATCAGCTTTTGGTGGATTAGTAAAGAAAACCGAAAGGCCTGATCAACACGTCAACTGACAATTATAACTTGGCATGCCTTCGGCTAAAATGATTTAACCCCAGTGAAGTCAAACAGGGTGAATGAACTATAAATCCAAGCATTTCAGCTTAACTGGTTTACGCAGCTTTCCCTTCTTCTGCATGTGAGATGCAAATGCAAAAGAGTTGGCACAAATTATTTAGATTGTTCTCCCGAATATTTTAGTATCTATTCATGATGGTACTACTTGTAACATTGTTCCAAAATTCCATGCATATTTTGTTAGGTCCACTCATGTAAGTTCGCAGAAAGCGACCTTGCAACTACTGGCCCTGCCCTTTAATTCCTATCAATCAACTAATGATGTCACCAGGAACACATCTGAGCCTATCCTGACGGGTGAACCTGAAAGTAAACCGGTTTAATAAATATACAGGTTAGGCCCCAAATATCTGAAAGACCGTCTCCATCCCTATAGACCTTTTTGGGTACTAAGATCTGCAGAATGGGCTCTCTTGGTAATTTGTGGCCCAGAAGAGGTGAATCAAGTGAATCACAGGAGAAGTGCATCAAGTATCTTCATTGCACAGCTATTGCCATATGCTGAAAATGTACCTCTTTGCCTTTGAGACATTTAAGGCAATGTATTTTGTGGGACCCACCTCTTTTGCTGAATTTATATTGGGACAATTTTACATGTTTTATAAACTAATGTTTTTTATTATTATTAAAAAAACCAATAATTGCATATTCTATTGTTATAACCCTCCCTGGGACCTTATGATGAAGGGCAACTAGTAAATCAAATCAAATCCCACAGCGCTCTTGCTGCAGTGCTAATTGAAACAGAAGATCAAGACTATTACCAAATATGAGAAGCAGGTGGAGCTTCTGGCCTAATTCCTTTCTCACCAATACTGTTGTATAACTGTACAGAGGCACAGTGTAATTTGGAGAGACAGTCAGTGCAGTGTAGTGGTCCATGTGTTGGGCTAGGAGATCAGAGTTCGAATCCCCACTTAACCTTGAAGATCACTGGGTGACTCTGGGCCAGTCAAGATCCAACAGCATAACAACATCTATAGTGTGACAGGTTCCACATCCATGCCCCAGACAAAGCAATGGAGAAGCACATCTGTTGCCTAGAGATCTGTTCTGAATGTAGTTGCACATTATAAGCAGTCACGTCTAGCTTTTCTCCAACCTTCTTAGGGAAGAGCTTCTTAAATAGCAGCTAGGGCAGGTTACAGTCAGGAGCAGGTAAAGGGCAGGTCCTTCCAAACCATTATTCACTTAACATCACCCCCACAATGCTTTCCCCACAGCAGCAGAAACAATACAGGTCTGAGTATCTCTTCCTCTTCAAAGATAAATGCAGCTTGTAGAAGAATAATTTGCAATACAAAAAACAAAACAAAGCCAATTGGAGGCGAAAGAGTTAGGCAGCTACTCTGCTGAACTTAAGGTCACTACTTTTCATTAGAGGGGGAAAACCCACAAACATCAGTGTTACCCATAATGTGTGACTTGGCATTGAGCCAAAATTAAACAGACGATGTACTGATTATCAGCCACAGTTAGAGGGGAAATAATTGAAATATATTGTAAAGGAAGAAGCCTAGGCCATCAATTAATGGAACATGAAACATTGTGTGGAAAAAAAAAAGTTTATCAGCCTGTGCCATACAGAATTGAAAAAATAAGGACAATGAAGAGGGAACATCATTTTTAAACATTTTTTTTTTAAAAAAAAGACATACAAGTCTGATAAAGCAGAATGAAATGAGGAGCAATCACCTTTGTGAAGAATAGTAAATATTTCTGATAGGAGTAGACTAGTGTTGAGAAAATGTTACTTTGAAGAGTCTTTGAAAATGTTGCTTTGAAACTCATAACAGCTCATCATTCCCACTGGGAAATTGTGCATGTGGTGGCCGTGAGGCAGGGTATGTATTTCAGCGGAGAGTCCATGGCAGAGGAGCCATCTAAGGTAACCACTTACAGTATGTCACCTGATGACAAAAGGACAGTAAGTGCAGGTGTGGGTGGGTGTCAGAGTGTTTGACCCAAAGAGTTGTCCCTGATGGCCCGTCTCAGACTCCACAAGCGTATATGTGAAATTAGAAGAAAAAATCCCCCCAATGCACATCAGCCTATGTCTGCTTACACTGAATTGCATCTGCCACCTGTCCATTCACCCAATCTGAAGAGATTCCTTCAAAGCTCATCACAAACTTTTTTTGTTTTAGCCACCCTAAACAACTTAATATCAATTCAATTCATAAACTTTATCACGCTAGCCAAAGGCCATGGCATTGTTCACAGGGGGAACAAAAGGAAAAACAACAATAACCATAAAAACATTTTTAAAAAAATTAGCACTACCAGTGCAATAAACCACGACAAGTCTCCTAGAGATTATTTGTTGCATAAACTAGAATAGCAGAGAAATCTCAGGTAAAATATGCCAGTTTAACTGTCCGAATCCCCTTTGCAGTTGACTGCTATTTTATCTAGCTCTTTTCTCCTGATCTTTTTAGCTGCCAGCGCAAATAATGCTACTTTGTAAGTTACAAAGTCATCAGTATCAGCAGCCATTTCACCCTTTCCACCCTGTTAGAGTATATTCCATTCGTAAGCAGGGGTAATTTAATATCACCAACGAATTTGGCTACCTCACTGTTCACCTCTTATTCTAGATCATTTATGCAAAAGGCCTCTGTGCTGAACCGTTGGGACTCCACTTTCTACATACCTCCATCAAGAGAACTGTCAGTTTAATCCTATTCTTTGCTTCCACCTAGTCCTGCTCCATAAGAGGACCTCTTCTACTCCTATGAAGCTTACTGTTTGGTAAGGAATATCATCAACTGCTTTTAGAAAGTCAACTGGACACAATGTCAATTGGATTGTCTATGCAGTCCCTTTGGGGGTACTCAAGAGTACGCAGTACCAGCACTGTTTCAGTATCATACTCTGATATTTAAATTGCAAACAGTTTATACTTGCAATTTAAATACCAGAGTAGCTACTTGTATGTGACTATTTCATCTGTTGCCAGAAAGTAGAGACTTCAATCACACACTAAAAAGTAAAAAACTTATCTTTGGCAAAAGGAAAGCAGGCATGGATTGGCACAGTGATATTTTTTATTCCACTCATATGACCTGCAAATGACTGCTTAAAATAAATAACAGTAGACAACAGTTAGCGCTTTTCACTCTATTTCTTTCTGTTCCTACCCCGACTTCTTCTAAAAAGAAACTGAATAGTCAAGAGAGAGAGAGAAATAGCAGGCAAGTAGCTGCTTTTTTATTATGATTGCAACAGCTCTTTTCCCTTAATTTTCTTTTCACAGCCTTTAGAATACTTCTGCTCCCAGTCTTTGCCATTCCTAGAGATCTCCTCAGGCATATGACTGCAATCATCCGGCACACCTCATACACCTTCAAACATTACTTTTTCTGGAGGGTCTTGAGGGAAATATTCTTTTTCTTATTCCACTTCAATCCAAATTGTCAACAGTGCCATATCGATTACAGACATCACAAAGACTAACCATGCAGTGAAATAAGGTAAGTGCCACAGGAATACCTCTCTGGCATGCTGTATTTACTGCTTCATAGCCAAGTCATCGAGAGAAGCCTCATGGTGAACCGTTTAGAGCTTGCTTCAGATATTTACAATGTTTCTACTCAGCAGGCTGGAAAAAGAAAAAGAAACCATTTCATCACTCTTTGTCTGTCTCTCTGTGTGTGCATGTGTTGTTGTTGTTTTTAAAAAGCTGCTATCTCTCACATGACACTTTCCAGTTTTGTTTTTAAAGTTTTTAATTTAAGATTTTGGAATTTTGAATTGCTTAGTGTTAGGAAGAAAGGTGTGGTGGAGAATTAAGAACCTGCATTCTCCTTTTACTAGTATTGTAAGATGCCCACTCCTAAGACGCAGACATGTTATACATGAATGGAAGTGGGGGGAGATGTGAATGAACTCATCATGTGAACACATCTTGTTCAGAAGCTATTGATGTTTAGATCTGAAGAAGTCAGTGAAGTTACAAGCTTTCATCCAGGGATGGGGAATCTACAGCCCTCCAGATGTGGTTGTACTACAGTTCCCATCATTCCTGACCATTGGCTATCTTGCCTGGTTATAAAGGGGCTGAAGTTGAACAACATCTAGAAGACCACAGGCTCCTCAAAGACTGTTTAAATCCACGAACAAAAGGTTGTGGTTAGGGATGGACAATTCATTCAATGTTCCTTTTGCTCACTTTCTTATTTTTTCAATTTTAATGTCACTTCTCCACATTTCCACATCAGTTTGCTTTTTTTAAAAAAAGTGGTCATGAAAAATCCTCAGCATTTTTTGAAGATATCTCCTAAGATACACATTTTTAAATGCAATTTGCCCAATATAGCCACACACAAGGATCCAAAATGGATCTTCTAGAAAATGCATATTTCCCCCTCAATGGACCCCACCCCAACTACTGTTAAATCACAGATAATTCCTGTGTCCATTGACTGAGCCATTAAAACTATGGACCAAGTTATTTCTAGCACTACTACGGTACAAAAACATGGATTGACAACACATAACACCCAGTGATGCATTTTGCTTCAGGTAGTGCACAGGCAGAGCAGCTCACAGGTAATAGCAGTAGTCCTAGAATCACAATCTTTCAGCAGTCCAAAGTCTGGACCAAGAGGCAGCACAAGAAGCAGTCTAAGGTTCAAACATGGGGTGTTAAATTAATATCATAACCTATCAGGGAGCCAGTGTGAACCCAGCCACTGTATGAGGGCAGGATAAGGTGATGTTAAGAAGAGTAAGATAATTATTGTTTTATTCTATGACTGGGATTCTGTTTATAAATCTCCACCCTTTTTTCTTGTGTGAAATTCTGTTAGCTCCAGATCTTCCCCTTCCCTCTCTTTTGGTAGTATCTTCATGAGATTTAACCTCTCCATTTAAAGCCATGAGAACCATTTTTGCATGATTGATTGGTGTAATTAGGCGTCTAGAGGAGTGGCGGCAATGCCTTGTTGCTTCCAAGGAGGAGAGGTCTGGGCTTTTGAATGCTGCCTGCCAGGACTGGCTGACAATGGATTTGCCATGGGTAAGACAGGCTTGACCTCTCAAGAAGGTAGTGAACAATGTGTCACTAAAAGTGCAAACCTGCTGACTGTCAACTACTCTGCTGTCTCTACTAGTCATAAGGAATCGTAAAGCCTAAGAAGAGCTAAACATAACACACACAGAGAGAAATAATGGGACACTGTCCATTAATATAAAGATTAGATAAAGTGTTTTGGATAATGTGGCCTGGGCAAATGGCTCTGCAGAAATGCGTCCAAAATTGTGAACTTCCTAGATGAAGAGATCCTAAAAGAAAAGCCAATCATTTCATAGCATTGAAGCTGAACACAAAATGGTGGAACAGTTGCATTCTTTCACATAATCTCTTTGGGGGATGAAAGACTTCTATTGCAACATTTACAGTGCCAAATCATTTTTCTTAAGTCACAAGAACCAAATCAATTATCTTGGCACTTTAACACACTTGGTTATTTGCAACAACAGACAATCCCTTGGTTTTCTTCATTATAGGCAGCATACAGCCATATTCACTTGTGCCAGAGTCTCTGGATAGGTTATTATGGAACTGGTGGAGATGAATATGTTTGTTCCAACAAAGAGTTTGATGTGCCCAAACACAGGGCTGGTACATCCATTGCACAAATGAGTAATTTGTCCCTAATATGACCAGAACAGCCATGCTGTATTTATTTCTCTCAACACCTGGAAGTTTAGTGGAAGTTTCTAATGGCTACTAATGCTGCCTGTCAGAGGTAGGAGATGTATCAGAAAGACAGTAAGAAAAATAAGGTAGGAAAGGGAGAGTAGTGCAACAACAGAGCTAACAAAGGGAAGAAAAGTTGTACAGGCCACATAATTAGGGTCTGCAAAGACTTCAGCAATACAGGCCTAGCTCAGAGTATTCATTCAATGTCTATTTTTAGTTGAGCATTATATATATTTTTCCAAATATTATTAAGGAAGTTGGTGAATGTTGCTGAACAGTCAGCCAGCTGTGTCTGAATCCTTAGACATCCCCCTCCATGCACCTTCTGACTCCATGGAGCAAACCTCTGATTCGGGCCATAGTCATAATTAATTTGCATTCAAAGCATTGGGATAGGACTTTGTTATGATGAAGTCTAATCCTACTTAGTCATAACCATCTTGGGCTAGATTGCAATCTATACCTATTAAATTATAATATTAAACTTGCAATTTGCAGGTAAGAAAAGAAAGGTTAGTTGGTCCCTTTTAAAATAATACATTTAAAATACATATTATTCGAAGGATGAAGACTGATTAAATGTTTTCAGACCACTGAGCTCTATTTCAAAGTGCCTTTGTCACACTTAAGGCAAACAAACATTTCATTTTCAAAGTCAAAGTCTACCAGAAAAAAGCCTGCATCTTTAGGGAATCTCTGCACATTACTCCTTGGCCGGTGATTGCAATTTCACACACACAAAAACCCTCTCCCCACTCCCAAGACCCTAGGACAATTTGCCACTTTTAAAAGGTCTCTCTGATTTTTAAAAATTAAGGTAATAAATGAACCTATCTTGGTATAAAGTTACAATGAGTACTTAAAAAGAAAATCAAAACTGAGCAGCCAACATAAAACATAATGAAAAGGCAAGATTGATGGGTGTATGGTGTTCAATTCACAGATGTGCACACCTGTCATTTGCAAAACTGAGAGGAGCCCAAGCTCATTCCAGAGTTGAGGGACTAACTGTAAGTTCATGTCTTCATTCTCTTTCCTGCTTGGAAGGAAAGAGCCAATGGAAATAGCTATGGATCCTGATGAAACAGCAGCTAACAAAGTGTGTGTTTTCATCACACGCTTTGCCCATTAGGTATTAATATATTTGATAAAGAGAAAATAAAAATAAATAAAACCCTGCCTTCTTTATGTGAATGACAATATGGTAGCTTTAAAAAAAAAAAAAATCCCTGCCAAAAACGTCTATATCACAGCTGCCCAGAGAGCATAACAAGGAGAATATTAGCAATGTCCAGATGCACATAAATCTACAGGGATACCTCTTGCCAACAGCAAAAAATGAAAGGGATGACAGTGTCAATCACATCCAATAGTCTATGTTAATGCTTTTCAAACAGGCCTTTCACAGCGGAAAATGGGGCTCATTAATAATGTATGGTCCAGTCGGAAGAAGGAGAGGAATGTGGTCGGAGAGAATGCATTGTTCCTTATCCAGAGACTCTTCCTAACAATGCCAAGCCCATTGCTGAAGGACATTTTTTTTCTTTCATTTTTTTTTTGGTCTTTAGGACTGCACTGAAACAATTTCAAACCTATTATCCTAATTGGCCCTTTAGTTTGTAGGCGCATGTTGCAAATGTTGCACTTTTAAGAGCCATTCTTTATTTCCCCCTCCTCTCCACTTCTCTCCGTCCGTCCGCCCCCTCCCTCTCTGACAGGCATCCCCCCCCCCACTGTATGAGTAACTTACCAAGCTTTCAAAACTGCCGGGTGGGTGATAATGCAGAACAGGGTATCTTTCTCTCCCCCCCTCCCTCTCCATCACCTCCTCTCTGTTATTTGAGCAGCTGTCAAGAAGGTGGCTTGTGGGTTTGCAGGTATGTATTTTGAAGCCAGCAGATTGGAAGCTCACACAGGAGAACGAAGAGAAAGGACAGGCTTAGGATGTCAAAATATATTTCCCTCCTGGCATGGAGAATCATCTCCCAGCGATTTGGTCAAAAGCACCTAATTGCTTCAAACAAGTCCATTAGTGTTGCCTCCTGGACCATCTGGAGTCTAAAATTGCTTTGTTTAAGAAAAAAAATCATCTTGCCTGCACCTGTACTTACTATGAAATATGTTCTCATTTGTATTTAGCCAGGTGCCGGTTTGGAGTGTGGAAGTAGGGACTGGTAAGAAATAATTGTTTCTTCTTATATACAAGTGAGAGGACATACCGGTAAATATAAAGTGAAGACACTTTTTGTGTCTCATTGGCATGACATTTGACTCATTTGGAGATGAGAACTTGGTTTGGGGGTACGGATTTTTCTGAAATGAAAAACAGTGAGTAAGGTTTGGCACTGTGCGATGTGAGCTCTGTCCAAATTATTTAGTCTATCATTTCAATCCACAGGACCCTGAATTGTCATTGTGTGTCAGCTAGGGAGAGGACAGCAGATGCAAGGTGCACAGTTTTTTTTATTCTATCAGAAACCAGACATTTTGGCAAGCCTTGGCAGGAACAAATGGTTGGATAGATATTCCATCTCATGTGGTGGCATTGGAGAGATGTATACCTGCCAGCTCAGCTTCTGGTTGGGAAGATGATGTTACAGGATGCTTTATCTTTCCATCCCCTGGGAATGTCATTTCCCCTCCCTCTCAAATCCTATGACTTTCAAGGTCCTTTTTCTAGTAGCGATTCACCACAGCTGGGAGGCAATTCAGATGTAGAATTACTGGCAATAATGTGGGATGGCCTTTCTTTGGGAAGCAGTGATATTCTATGTAGTTAATCAACTGCAGTAAATGAGATTTCATCTGTAGATACCATTTGTTGTTGTTGTTTAGTTGTTTAGTCGTGTCTGACTCTTCATGACCCCATGGACCAGAGCACGCCATGAATTAATTAATAAACATCAGTGATAACATTCAATTCTCATGAGTAGGTGTTGCATTCAGGCAAATGTACCCTTTCAAGCTATTGTTCAGTTTGCATGATACCACACATGTGATAATTGCTATTTACAGTGACATAAGCATACGGTGAAAAGCCCTAGAATACAGTTGTTTCATCGTTATTGTGAAGTTAATAAAGGGGTTCCTCATTTGAAAGACCATGGAGAAAACTCTTCTATCAACAAGCTAGGTATTTTCTCTCCTACAAGTTAATCTTTGGAATGAAGGACTACTTTGAAATTCTGAAAAATCATTTCTCTAATCAGGCCAGGCACATTCAAAACCAGTGAACAGCATAGCAGTTTAAACTGAGAGACCATCCAGGGGCTTCCTTTCAGGAAACCCTTCATTCTCAGAAAATCATTCTCAGTGTGGCAAAATCACAGTGTATTCTGGCTCCTTCCCAGCAGTGGCGGAGCAACATGCTGCAGCCCCAGGAGCGGAAAACAGGCTGGGGCGTGGCTGGCGTGTCGCCCACGGGGGTGTGGCACATGTCCCAAGGTTGCTCAGCATGCAGCATGCGTCCCAGGAGGGCGTGGCGTGCATCCTGGGAGGGAGTGGCCACGATGGCACCCTTTCCCCAAATGGTACCCAGTGCAGCATGCTCCCCCCACCCCCCTTCATATGCCAGTGCTTCCCAGAGGCGTCAGCTTGGGCCCCAGATCGTGGGTACCTAGTGCTGCATGCTGCAATGTGAGGTGATGACATCACAATGCAGTGCGACATGATGACCTGATGATGTTACACCATAGTACAATGTGATGACACCATGGCATGATGCACAATGATGATGCTCTCCGCTGCCACTTCTAGGCTTCCAGGCGGGGGCAGGGGACCATGGGTACATGTCCGCGGCCACAGTGAGCCCCAATGGAAGCCCCGCAGTGGAGGCCCAGCTCAGTCATTGCCATGGCAACAGAGAGCCAGAGGTAGGGCAATGGGCAACAGGCAATGGATGCAGGCCAGGCTCCCACAGTTACAATTTTTTATGTGCCTAGGCACCAGGGCCCCCTGCAGTTGGCGCCAGTGCCCCTTAATGTGTTTTGCAAGTTCTGGCATAAAACTTGAAGAATATTTTACTCTGGTTATTTTATACAGAATTTTAAACACCAGTTTTTCCTGGCCACATACATACAATAAGCTCAGAGAGGTGTTAAAAAATTCAGCTGCAAAGTAAGCATAAGCAGGAAATCAGAAATAGACTTGTTTAGGTGCATTTTGCACAAACACTTCAGAGTGTTCTACCTGAAATAAAATCGGACTTTAGAAAGACAAGTGAACATGCTTTGAATTAATACTTCTGGCGTGGATTTTTAAGTCTTTAAAAACACACATTTAGGAAGTTCAAGCAGTAGCATAAAAAAAGTGTTTGTCTGGGTTCTGGTGAGGGTAAACCCTCAGTGGAGTCTGAAGGAAACAAGTCAGATAGGAGTCTGAAGCAAATAGCTGAATTACTGCTAAATAGGAAGCTGTCTTATACTAAGTTAGACCACTGGTCCAATTATGTAAGGATTGTCCACACTGACTGCCAGTCAGTCAACAACAGTGATAACCTGCAGCAAGATTGTTTTAATTGTATTTTAATTTGAATCCCCATGAATATTCATACGCCTAGACAAGACTTAACTCCTTGGCACACAGCTTTTAAAAGAAAACCCTCCTGTAGAATTATGTGGATTCCCTCCTCTGCTCCAACCTGCATTTTCCTGGCTTTGTTAGCTCAGGGAAAGAAATTTAACTTGATGCTACATTTCCTCCCAAAGGAGGCGGAGGTATTTGTTTTCCCTGGTACCTGGCTGCCTGAGACAGCAATACCTCAGGTTGTGAGACAGTCTGTGCTGATGGTCCCAACTAATCATAGTTATGTCCAGCAATAACCAGACTATAAAATTGTGTTTAATGTCCCCTGCTGTTGTTTCTAAGCAGCAGCTTCAATTTTGCCATAGCACTGTGGACCGCTTTCTCTAAAAGGTAAAATGAGTTTAGCAGTTTGACTTCAGCTTTGGAAATACTTTTCTGACAAATTGCTGGAAGTATTCTGGAGAAACAAATGTATTGTGTCAGATGCCTTGATCAGTTGTGTTGACAGACTGAATCCTGTCAAATCCATGATTACCACATTGCCCCCATAAGAACATAACAGGAGCTCTGCGCTGACAGACCAAAAGCCCATCTACTCCACCATTATGTTCTCACAGTGGCTAATGAGGTGCCTTTGGGAAGCCCATAAGCAGGACAGGAGATCAATGGCCTTCTCCCACTTGTGATTCCCAGAAATTAGAATTCAGAGGCTTACCATACTGACGGTAGCACTAATAGCCATTGATAAGATTTATCCTTCATGAATTTGTCTAATTCCTTTTTGAAGCCATCCAAGTTAGTGACCATCATCACAACTTGTGGAAACAGAGGCGGATTTAGGGGAGTGTGATCAGATTGAGAGACTCAAAGATGCCACAGGCAACACCACAACTATGACATAGAATGAAAGGTGGGAGGTGGGGCCACCGAATTTTGGTGTCTCACAAGGTGTGACTGAAATTTGAGACCCCTAGGACCTCTACTGATGGCAGTGTATTCTGTAGTTTTAAAAAACACAGTCTGTGTTGCCTCTTCCAACCTTCAGCTTCATTGGAGTGAACCTGGTTTCTAATATTATGAAAGAGGGAGGAAAACCTTTCTCTGTCCACATTTTCTGTACCATGAGTAATTTTAAGCACCTCCATCATGTCTCCCCTACTCACCCTTTTTCTAAGCTGAAAAGGTCCACGTCATCCAATCCTTCTGATGCTGAAGGCCATCTTCATAAGAGGCATAAGGTGAAATACACTGGCACCGAATCCACTTTAGGATAATGCTTGTATATTGATTACATACTTTTGCATCCTCCTTAAATAAAATTAAAACCTTTTCATCATGGTGAATTATGACCCCCGCACTCCAAGTGTGATTAGGTTTGAAATTACTATCAGTTGCTTCTCAAATTTGTCTGCAAGAATTCTGTCCACTTCTCATGTTACGTTTCAAAGGCCTTAATGCCCTTTTATGTGTCAACACAGATAAGCAGAAATTCACCGGGGAAATGAATGCACATTTCTTCCCACTCCTGGCTGGCAACATTTCGACTTGGTAGGGCTGTAAAGTTTAACCTTGCTGTTTTCATCACAAGTACAACACTTATTTAAGAAAGTGTGCCATTACACACATACAGAGTGCCATTGTCTCCTCATGAAAAAACACATCTATGGATAGAATAAGATTTAAAGAAAAAGAAAAAGAAATTAAGCCATACCAATGGAAACTGCTCTGAATATCCTCCAGAACAGATGTATTGATTCCGAAAGGATACCAGAAACTGGTATACCACTGATGGCTATATCCTCTGGTTGGATTGACCTCATGATAACAGGAGGGAGTAGGAATCTGCACAACTGAGGCTAAGTAGCTAGCAGTCCAACAATATAAAATTTTTACTTCTGTTTGTTGTTGTTGTTGGCCTGGAGACGCATGGAGGGGACCTCTTTGCCATAGCAATACTTTTGGATTGGGATTGGTTGAGTAGTACAGAGAGCTGACTGGACAGAGAACAGAAAATTGACCCAACTGTCTCCATGAGCCTCACTAACTTCAAATTGAGATTGAACTTGAGAGTCATTCTTTCCTAATTGTCCTTATTCTTTGAACCAAATCCCTAAACTGTTTTCTTTAAATGGTGTGTGTACCTGTGTGTCTGTGCGTGTATGTGAGAGAGAGAGGATTCAAGAACACTATGGAGTGGTTTGTAAGAATGTGTTTTCAGGTGAGGGAAAATAGGGGCCTGTAATATCAAAGCCTATACGTTTACAATTTTTGTAGGATAATTAATGCATGTTTTATGTGTGCAAGCATATGGATGTGCTCACATTTGTGAATAATATATAGGTAGATGCAAAGTTTGTGAGTATTTACAGGCACTCTCGCCCCCCCCCCACTTATGCACATCCCACTTGCGTGCAAGCATGTTTACACGGGTCACTGCAACAATCTAAATAAAATAACCACCAAAAATATATACAAAATAGCAAAGTCACAAATTAGCTGATAGTGGTCTTCCTACATGATGAATCAACCAAAATCTGATGGTGGTTGACTACCCGTTCAGTGTTGTCAGGGAACTGACATCAGAGCGAGAGGCGAAGGGGAGGCTCCTGGATGATGCTGGAGAAGGACCCAGCAGCAGGGGGAGAGGCGACTCAGTGGAGGGGGAAGCATTTAAGCGCAACACCAGGAACAAAAGTGAGCAGATGGGAAAATCGGAGAGAGGGCTCACGGACTCTTCACTGGAACTCAGTGAGGAGGGACAGGTCCCCCGCTACCCACGCCCACCCTGCGCAGAAGGCTCCCGCGCAGTGAGGGCGGAGGCGGTTGGGTGTCAAACAACTCTTATGTTGGAAGAGATTCAAGAAACGCCCACTGACGGATTCTGCTAGTGACTGAGACAGTCATGATCAGAAGGGGCTGTGCAGTCAGAAAGGTTTAACAAGGCAAATCAGCCTAGAGAGGCACCAGTTTACGCACGAGTAACTCATACTCATTACAAGTGTCTTTCATTTCAGTCATTATCCTCCCTTTGCTATGGCAGGAAAAACAAACAAAACACCATGCTTAGTTCATCAATCCACTGGTGGTCCTCCCTCCCCTTATGCTACTACAGGACCTTGACAATCCAGTTTCACAACACAGGAGCCCCAAAATGTCACTATCAAGTCTCAGGTGCTGTATTTAATGGAAATAAACTGAATAATTTAATGACCAGCTAATGTAGTGACTTAGAACGGGTCTATTATTGTTCACATTTACAATGCTCTTCCAGGATGTGGAAATGAAAACTGATATCTTGTAAGCTACAGAGCTTTAGGGACCTAAACAAATGTATATTCCCGGAACCTTTGTCCACAGAGTATGATTTACAAGCAAGTGGATAAAGATGGCCAACATCTGCTGCTAAATTACAGACTTAATGAGACTTCATGAGTGTTTTGATATGTGATTACATATCATTCCCACAAATTAGGCATGTGTTTGACCAAGACATCACTTATGCAAGCCCAGGAATGAAGGATAAAGAATTCCAGGGTTTAAGGTTGGTCCAGATCAACAATTATTAGGAATACAGTGACAGATTTTAATTTCAGAATCCATACAAAATGCATGCCATTCATCAAGTATTAGCAGAAGTTTGAACTAGCTACATGCTGAATCATCAACACGCTTATTTCCGACTTTTTGGTCTCAAAAAACTGCAGTTGAAATTTGCCAGGACATTTTCCTAAGAAATTTGCCAGGGCCTTTTTCTCTTCCTATCTTTCTCTCATACCATTGAACAGGAAGAATTTCCTCCTAATATTCCCCTTCTGCTTCTTTTTCTTTTTTGTAGTAGTCACCATTTCCTTCACACGATGCCTCAGAATGATGCTAGGATGATGGAGGATACAAAATGGTGGCTAGGCCTGCCCACACAGTTGTTGATGCTGCAGGGCAGCAGCAGCCACAATGGCAAAAAAAACCCAACAACTGAGCAGGCTGTTGCACTGAAGTCCTTCTGAACGTGGTCCAAAGTGCACTGTTTCAAAAACACCATAATAGGGCACCAAGTGATCCATGAGATTGACTGTGGGGTGGGCTTGGGGAGTTTGTAATTGTGCACAGTTGTAGCACAATGTGGTGTGACGATGCTGCTTTAGTATAGTGGAATGGGTGGATGTTTCTCCAAGGACTCACATTAAGTATTAACATCTCTGTCTTTCATCCCTACACTGAACAGAGCAGCTGCAATATAATAGAGACAAGGCAAAAAACAGCTGATCAAATGTAGGGTCTGTGTTAAAATGAGATCCCTCCCCCCACTGTTCAACTATTTATGCTGTTACGGAAGCACTTATAGCCCAAACTAGCCCAAAATTGGTACATAATAAGTGTAATGAAATGCAACAGTCCCTTCTACTCTGATCTTGTCGAGGAAGCCAATCGGTTTTATATCCACCAGCTGAGTTGAATGCAAAGGCATTTACAGCCATAATTTCTTCCTACGTACTGTACAATGGAACGTCATTTAGAAACCCAATAGCCAGGAAAACACACCAGAGGAACTTAATAGGGAAAGCCGTTTGCACTATAACTATTGCACTATACCTTACAGAAAGATAATTAAGCTGAAACCACCAGCTTCTTAACACAATATAAAGAACATTGAGTGGGCTATGAGCCACAGTGGGTTAGATGGTTTTTTTTAAGAAAAAAGAAAAAAAACCTCACTGCTGCAGTTTCCTTCAGTATAAGCATTAAGTGAAGATGACTTGCTGAAAGCGTTACCTTAGAAGAATGTTTGAAAATGCTTGTTTCCGTTGTTTCAAGATGGTTTTTTTTAAGCAGTTGACTAAGGAGTGCGTTAGGTCAGAACAGCCACTTAAAATGGTGACTTACACCTCCACTTTAAGAAAAAAATATATACTTTGTATTTTGCGTATGTGTGTGCACGTACACACGCACACACACACACACAGAGTCTTGAATAATGGTGTTGAAAGCCAGTCATGCAATATTGAAGATAATGAGGTGCATGTATGCTGCCCTCACAATTGCAGGGAGAAAATGGCAGCAGGAAACAGTGTGGCAGTGGTATCCTTATGGGTCTGCCAATGAGTGGGTGGGCAGTGGCAATGGCTTGCTTCCCTTCAGCTAGGAGCTCAAAGGGGAACTCAAATTGGCTTGGAAGGACCCAATTCCATCACCCCACCCCATCCACATAAAGGACCATGTCCTCTTGCTCACCATCTTTACAAAACTTCCAGCAGGCCATAGGGTTTGACATGGATCAAGCACAGCTCTGTGACTCAGGTTCAGGGAAGAGGTGGGTAGGAGAGACATGGAACTGGTGAAGGAAGACAGGAAAGGAAATGTTTCAAGGGTAATATCTGGGGGAATGAAGGTGAGTGGAATGAGATTATAGATGAGAGGCAGGAAAAGGGAAACAAACAGGAGCAGATAGAGAAAAGGCAATGGGAGAAGAGCAAAGGTCTTTGCTTCCCCAATTTGCTCGTTATTCCCATACCATCTGAGCTCATTTTCACCACCTCCTAAAAGTACTCTTTGAAAAAAGGAAATTAGCTGTGTATGTTGGATTTTGGTGTGGTGGTGGTATTTTCCCTCCTATAGCATGCAACACACCACAGTATAGGGAGTTTTCTTGTTTGTTGGACCCCATTTGCATTATATCCAGGCATGCACACAGCCAAAGAAATCATTAAGCATTACTGGAAATGAGAAAAAGGCATTTCCCTGTATTGATTATGTAATTCATCTTATAAGGTGGGGGAAAGGGAAGTTGCAGGGCATCATATGTGATTTAAGTAGCTCGAAAGGTTAGACAAATCATGAGCAGGAATTCATTAACTTCTTTGAACAATGAGTGTTCCAAGCAAGAAAATCAAAGGAGATATTAGACACAAAGAAACTATTTGCCTTGGCAGTGCAAGTAAAGCGACAAAGATAATTCTCAAAGCCAATGGTAATGATGCTTTCTTCGGAAATGAACTGGATGCTATCTTCAACAGAAGGCGCACAGTGCTGATTTCTTCTTTAGTTAAAAGAGGAGGGGGAGGAGAACAAATGTTAGCAAAAAACCCAACAACAACTACCCAAATACATTTTTAGCATCATTCCAGGCTCTGGAGATATGTATTAAAGTTCTGTTTAGGTCTAGGCAGTACACAAAAGGGGTTTGGGGGGACTTAGTGAAAGACGAACAGCCAGTGTTACAGTTGAAACTAATTAAGATAAAGATGGTCTGAAAATAGGTCTTATAAATATTCTTTTGGCTTTTGATATGCCAGTGACTGGGACAAAATATGTCACTTTCTGGCATTGCTTTAATTGAAATATTTGGCCATTACCCACAAAGAAATGAAAGAGCCTCAGAAATGCAAGGGTCTGGGTTCCAACACATACCCAGCATACCTATTTTATTTTATTTTATTTTATTTTATTTTATTTTATTTTAGTGAGTGTTAAGCAGATTTACTCCTTAGCTGTGGCACTTCAGTGGATGATTATGACATCAAAGTGTGACAGACAGTGATTATGTTCTGCAGGGGGAGAAGGAGGATAAAAACAGACAATTAATTCCCATTGCTTAAAGGGACATTATCTTGGGATTGTGCTTTTTTTAAAAAACAATAATATTCTGAATCCTTAAAGAAAATGAAGAAGAAGTAATTTATCTGTCCTGCCTTGTTTCAAGATTTTTAGAATTAAGCTTCTTTCTTCTGGAAATGACTTTTAATTTGTCTTTTGACTTCAGTTTTTTTTTATGTAATGAATTTTGTTTTTCTCTTTCAGAACTTTACTTAAATCAGCCCCTGGAATATTTTTCATTCAGGGATTTCAGCACTTTGTGCTTTTCTGCATACCTATCACTTGCTTTCCTTTTACTTAGTCCGTGTACAATTCTGTCCTCCTTCATATGATCTTTCTAGAAGAAATCTATAGCCATTTTATTAAAAGAAATCAGATACTATTTTATTAATTTAAAACTTTTCTTTTATGCTCTTCATTGCAAAATGCATTTCCTGAGAAATGAACATCAAATCTGGATATATAATACAAGTAGCAAAAACAAGGCAGGTAATCACTACCAGTGAACTAAATGAACATTGACACTGGCACACTAAATTCTTCCCAAAGCCTATGCAAATAACTTTGTCTTCAGCTGGTTTCAAAGGGTTAAAAGTGTAGGTGCCAGCCATTATTTCAAAGGACATGCAGTTCCAGAGTTAGGGTGCCACCACTGAGAAGGCTATCCTTCACATTAATGTATTGTCAGTCTTGGCAGAGCTATAAAAACCGGACAATCTTTTGTTTGTTTTGTTTTGTTTTGTTTTTAAGGCATACTCTCTGGTATCCAAGCCCAAAACTTTTTAGACCTTTCTGCGTCAACACAAATACCATGAAGCAGGCTCAGTAACATATACACAGCCACTGCAGTTCTTTCAGAACTGGTGTAATATGTTCATGGCAGACACTCCTCAGAGAAACCTAGCTAGCTGCCACATTCTGCACTAGTTGTAGCTTCCAAGCTGACTTCAAGGGCAACCCCATGCAGAATGGATTACAATAGTCCAGTCTTGAGGTTACCAATGAAGAAATCATTGCATCAACATTCTACCTGTCCAGGAACAATTGTACCTGGCAAACCAGCTGGACTGTTTATAGGCTTTCCTTGCCATGGATGCCTCTTGAAACTCCAGTGACAATGCTGGCTCTATGAGCAGCCACATACTGTAGATGTTCCTTCAGAGGAAGTGCAAGCCCATTCACAACAGTTAACCTTTCCATTCCTGGATCTGGGAAACCTCTTCCTTATCAGGATTCAGCTTCAACCTTTTGGCTCTCATCCAGCCCACTACTGAATCTAAGCACTAGTCCAAGAAGAACATTTTATAAAGCGATAGATATAGTTAGTGACAATGGTTTCAGGCCAGAGTAATCCATCCACAAATAGAAAGATTCCTTATGTTTGTAAAAGCGTACTGCAATCTAGCAGAACCACCCACTCACAGAACAGGGAGAGGAATTGATTTCTTATTTTTCTGTCTGCCTTCAATCTGCCCTATGCCATGTCTCACACTGTTCCAGAGAATTCTTCCAACCCACCAGACAACATTTCCTGGGCTGCAGGAAAAATTCAGACTCTTCACTGAGTAGAACTGTAATCACAGAATCTCTGTATTCAATGCATAATGTACATCTAAGTAACAAATGAAATTCTGAGTCAGGTTGTTGTGGCTCACAAAAATATTAATACCAATTCTGTTTATCCAGTGTCTCCCCAAGCTACCATCACTTTTTAAGAAATAACAAATGCAATCTTACAATTAAACAATGCCAGATGTTAAATTGAAAGCATTTATTTGGTTTTTAATCAGATAATACAGTCACTTTGTCCCATAATAGGTACAACTTTAACTTGGGGAATTTCCTTGGAGGAACAGCCTTGTTCTGATGCCATTTATATGACTACTGAGTGCTAGACATCAAACATGTACAGTTTACAAACATGTAAACATTTATCTTTATTTATCTTTGGGCCAAATTGAAAAGAGAGAAATAGGAATACAATAAGCCTCCAATATTAAATTCTCTCTAATGGTAGAAAGAGGTGGGAAGATTTATTTAAAAGAAAACCCAGAACTTTGCACAATTGTATCATAAGTAACTATTGTATGCAACATGCAGGTTTTCATCCATTATAGCTAAATGAATGGATGAAAAATGTGCTAATTGTTTTCGGCAGTGTTTTTACAGATGTCTTTAACTAGAGCAATCTTTATATAGAAGAAAAAGAACCATCAACAGTAGCACCTGATATAGCTACCACAAGGGATTATTTTTATCATTTTTGTGTTGACGTTTTCATGTTTTTCAGAAAGACACAATCTTCAAAGAAGATTGGACTTAGGCAGGAAAGAGGAACTATTGATCATTGTCTTGTGCTTGATCATTTGATCCCTAAATATGCCTCTGGCTCTAAAAAGTTTTTATTCTCAGCTCTTGTTGACTTATCGCCGGCTTTTGATTCTGTATATCATGATCAGTTATGGGCAAAATGGCAATCTAACATTGACAGGTGTCTCCTGATTCATATTAGGGGCTTGTACAAGACGGGTCCCAATGCTCAACTTACAAAGGAGATTTCTGTTACAAGAGGTGTTTGCTAATTGTCTATTTGGTTTCTAGATAACAACGCTATTGAGGCGCTCCTGGACAATACAAATTGGGCAGAGATAATCCTGGATGAAAGACAATTTTGTTATGAATGTAAGGAATCATGTAGCTGAAATACAAATCACAGCGTTTCACATGCAGGAAAGGAGTCACTCATATATCCTCAGTGGTTCCAACTAGAGATGTCCCATTTAGGCACACATTTTTTCCACTGGTTTTTTTCCATTCTATTTCATTTGCACACCAATCAGCTGCTTTAAAAAACTGCACTTATAAACCTATGCATGTTTGATATTTGCAAGTGTAGTTCTTTAAATATATGCATTTTCATGCACTGTAATGCATTTTGTGCATTTTTGAATCAAGAATCACATACAGTGTACACCAGTATGATATTCAATAGATTATTGTGCTGTATTCCACACATTCATTCAGTGGGAGGGTACTGACTTCCTATGTTAGCAGAGATTTCTGAGATAATCTAATCACAATCTCATCACTTCTCTGTTCTGCAATAAATAGGGGGAGAGGAAAAAAAAGAATTTTAAAACTCCACTATGCCATCCAAAACTTTTAGGAGAGGTAAAGCAGGCCCTGGGGAATCAGTTGCAGCTAATGAACCATGATGTGGAGATGTCTTATATCTATTCTGCATATTTATATTTAAGAAGTAAATTCTGTAGAAATTCAGGTTTATTTTATTTTCTTATTTGCAATGGGCTGACCCAACACCTGACACTCTTGTGGATCAGCACATAATTCCTAGTCAGATTATTCAGTAGATGTTGCAATGATTTTTTGTGCAAAAACAACTGTACCAAAAATGTATATTACATTAAAGACACATAAATATGTATTTTACTGGTGAGTGAATTGAAAAATGTGCATGGTATGTAAAAAGTGTGTGTGATATATTGAAAGTGTGCACAAAATGCATACAACAAGATGGAATGGGACAGAATGGAATGCAAAGGGATGGACCAGGATGTAATAACAGAACAAGATGGAAGAGACATTTTACTAAGTTTCTGAAATACTGAAATGAGATGGAATTAGCTGCTCAACCCATCCCTATTGATATTGCACAATTAAAGAGGAGGTAGATAAGTTATGGAAAATTCAATGGAAGCCAAAGTGCTTCTTAAGGAGACTGCAGCTGTCACCCCCATCTCAGTAGTGTTTTTACTTGCTCAGATGACATTCTCTGCTTTATTGCAAAAAAATACCCAAATCATCCAGTTGCCTCACAATCTGTTTTTTATATTACAACCCATATCATATACAAAAACCAGACTGTCACACCACACAGGTGGAAAGGTGAGTCTAAAGACTAGTGAATGTTGGGATTACCAACAATAATGAAATCACATAAACATCTGTGCCAGCGGTTTCTGCTGATGAAGTGTGAACATTAGGAGGGGTGCCGCCAGCTGCCTTCAGACAGGCTGCAGCACAGAAATTACTAAAGGCATTCAGTTTGCACCTCTTTGAAGACACGAGGGTAGTACGTCCTGCTAAGTGCAAATGCATTGCTTTGCTTTGAGTGAAAGCTTCGGAGGGCTGTGATAAAGCATTAAAATCAAAGGGGTGGAAATGATATCAAGATCCTGGTAGACTGAAAAAATCAATGGACTAATAGGAGACATCATCTGTGTATGTGAAGCAAGGGTGCATACCTCAAAGCACCTTGAAGGCCACTTCCATGTTTGTTTGTTTGTTTTGCAAAAGGGCTGCATCCCAATCGCTTTTTTATTACAATTTTAACTCAGTGTTTATATGCAACCTATTCTCTGTTAACCTGTTTTTCTCTTTGTGCCCCACAGAAGTCTTCTCCTCTCTTTCTGAACTATTTTGGGTCTCACAGTAACCCTTTCTCTATTAGCCTTCTTTCCGTATGCCTTTCCACTATGGCAGGGGGAGCCTGGGGCTCTGCTGATTGTTGGACTACAATTCCTATGAATCCCAGCCAGCATGGTCAGGGATGACAGCAGCATCTGGAGGGTCAAGCATCAGCCATCACTGATAGAAGGCTCTTTCCCCTCTCTGCATACTGGAGAATACTGCATGCTATAGCTCATGTTCTTCTTTCTCTCTTTGTTCCACCCTTTCCCACTGGAGTTTAACTGTGGAACTTGCTCCCACAGAAGGCAGTGATGACCACCAACTTGGACTGCTTTAAAAGAAGACTAGACAAATCCATGCAGGAGAGGCCTATGGATGCCTACTGGTCATGTTGGCTTTGCTCTGTCTCCACAGTAGGAGGCAGAAATGCTTCTGAATACCAGTTGCTGAAAACTACAGGAGGAGAAAGCACTCTTGTGCTTGATTCCTGCTTGCTGGTTGGCCATTGTAAGAACAGGATGCTGGACAAGATGGACCATTGGCCTGATCCTGCAGGTTCTTGCCATGTACTACAGTACCTATGTTCTGTCTATACAATCAGACTGATCAGAACTCATAAGGATTGAAGCTTACACAGGATCCTAAGCAGGCTGCTAAGTCGGACAGAACTGCTAAACTAGTTTCTCAGTAGGGAACTGGACATGGGCGTAGCATTGAAAGTAATCAATTATCTGAGGTTCTGCCCCCCCCACCACCACAGAAGCCCACAATGTTGATTTCCTTTTAAAAAGCTCAAAAACTTTGGCTGCCCTCTCCCCCTGGCTACACCCATGAAACGGGCATGATCTAACTGCACCAGCAGGAGCATTGGATTGGCTCCACTGGTGCCTTTGCACTTTTCCAACCTTCCTGTGGCCTCCCCTCTGGTGAGCATCAGCAGCCCACCTGCCAAGAATCTAGCTTCACTGCGAGTCACTTGAGATGTTGGTACAATGTAGAACAGTCATGCTTTGGTATGGGTAGGTTTCACTGAGTCCTCTGATTTCTTCAGGCTCAGGAACTTGACAGAGCTGCCTGGGTTTTGTTTGTCAGATCTTACATTTACTTGGGAAACAAGTTCCATTCAGTTCCATTTGCCCCTCTTTAAAATTTTCACCCGTGTCCCAACTTTGAACAAAGAAGCAGCTAGATGACATTTCCCATTTAAGTCTCACTTCTCCCAAGTCGCTTTTCTTTTCCCCTTCTTTTTTTTAGGGTTATGCAATTTTTAGTTTGTGAGAACATCTGAACAGGAAGCAAAATGAAATGTTTCTATCTGAATCGCCTTTGTCCTCCCCACACAATGCCTGCAAAGTCCACCTGCTGGAGGTTGGGTGGCTTATAGAAAGAGATGTCATGGTAATTTGGAAAAATGCTAAATGCGGGAAAGAGACTTTTGCTGTCCCCAAGCTTACCATACCAGTTTGTCTAGCTCATTACATGCCAAAACATTTGATTGATGTACTCCCTTCAGTCACGGGTAATTTTAACTCATATATTTAAATAGCTCTTGCTTCCACTCTATTATAATTCATTGTATGGGGCAAATCAGAGCTCAGGCTTGGCCCACACTGGGTTGACCTGGACACCAGAGTGAGCCTTTGTTTTGTGTTGTGTAGGAGGCAAGCCAATATTTCAAAATCCTCTCGCTTACAGAGTCTCTCCTTGTCTTAATTGTAGAGATCTATCCATATGATAAGTAGCTCTTTATTGCAACTGATTGTAGCTTTTCAAGTCATTCAGAGAAGTTCAGAAATGCAGTTAAAAGCTTCCTAGATAACACTTGCCTTTGAAATGTGGGAGTTTGCTATGAATTAATAACGTGAAAAAGAAGTGGTGCTCTTTTTCTGTTAGCAGCTACAGACATATTCATCAATATTCTTGACCTCCTTGTCATTTGAGTCCAAAATTGCCACACCAATGTTGTAGAATTGTGGAACAATTTGGAGCTACTTAATACCTATTTAGCTATGTGGAGAGAGAGCCCACATACAGATCCTGCTCCTGCCCCTGAGTCTTGCCACTGCCACTATCCCAGAAGTCATTGTAAGGGGAGCTCGTCTGTAAAGGAGAAACACGCTCGGTGTGCATATGTTGTCGCCACAAATGGGAACCCAACAAAATCAGGATTCCCAATTATAGGGAGCACCTATGCACATGCAACAGGCAGTTGTTTAAGTATTTATTTATTGCAGGTATATCCCATCCTACCTCCCAAAGGAGTCCAGAGCAGCAAAGAGCAAGTAATAAAACAATTTTAAAATCTTTTAAAATCTATTCAAAATTATTCCAATACAGATGCAAACCAGGGACGTTTTCAACTTAAAAGTTTTGTTAAATGAGGAAGGTCTCCAGTAGGAATTGAAAAGATGACAGAAATGGCACCTGTTTAATATTTGAGGGCAGATTTTACAGGCTAGCAACTGGTACATGAACCAGCATGAGGTTGGGCCAACAGCAGACCCAACAGCAAGCTTCTCTCTGTGTCTGTCTCTTTCTCTTTTTCTCTCTGCAGCCCTGCTGCCTCTGTTTCCCCTATCCAACTTTAAATCAGGTGAAATGATTATTCACCTTAAAATTCTCATAAGCAAATGGACAGAGAAACCCCAGTGCACTGCTAAACCAGAAAAACTCTGGAGTTTCAAGACCATATGGGTGGAATCGAACTAAACAAATTTGTGATTGGAACAACTGCCACCTTTAGTTATTTGTTAGCTATTAGAGAAAAATTGGAGACTGAAACCTGATTAATATAGCATCTTCTAAAGGTGTCTGTGGACCAATGCATCCATTGGTGATATCAGAATCTGCAGCATTGTTTCTTGGGATCACATAAACTCAATGTGCCTAAGGAATAATGGGTGTCTAAGCATATGTGACATCTTCAACACCTTAAATGGTTTCAGGTTATTCTTTTAACTGAATATACCACATAGTTTTGCAAGGGATATACAAAGAGGTCATCATGCTTCATTGTCCCTTAGCTAACCTGATGTCATGGACTGGCTGGAGGGAGAAGTGTGGTGGGAGGCACCAGCTGGGGAAGCCCCATAGGAACCCCCAAGGGAAGGAGGCTCAGAGCCAGAGGATTGGTGGTGGGATGACGATGAGTGGTCAGAGGGTGAAGTGGGAACAGACTGGGAGGAGGAGG